TGTGTCAGTGTGTATCAGGGATCCTTAGGACAGGTGTCAATCCATATCCGCCAAGTGACCCTATGTAGGAGGAACAGTCCCTATTCTGCTCTGTGTCAGTGTGTATCAGGGAACCTTAGGACAGGTGTCAATCCATATCTGCCAAGTGACCCTATGTTGGGGTAACATTCCCTATTCTGATCTGTGTCAGTGTGTATCATGGATCCTTAGGACAGGTGTCAATCCACATCTGCCAAGTGACCCTATGTTGGGGTAACATTCCCTATTCTGATCTGTGTCAGTGTGTATCAGGGGCTCTGAGGACAGGTGTCAATCCATATCTGCCAAGTGACCCTATGTTGGGGTAACATTCCCTATTCTGATCTGTGTCAGTGTGTATTAGGGGCTCTGAGGACAGGTGTCAATCCATATCTGCCAAGTGACCCTATGTAGGAGGAACAGTCCTTATTCTGCTCTGTGTCAGTGTGTATCATGGTCTCTGAGGACAGGTGTCAATCCATATCTGCCAAATGACCCTATGTAGGAGGAACAGTCCCTATTCTGCTCTGTGTCAGTGTGTATCAGGGATCCTTAGGACAGGTGTCAATCTATATCTGCCAAGTGACCCTATGTAGGAGAACAGTCTCTATTCTGCTCTGTGTCAGTGTGTATCATGGTCTCTGAGGACAGGTGTCAATCCATATCTGCCAAGTGACCCTATGTAGGAGGAACAGTCTCTATTCTTCTCTGTGTCAGTGTGTATCAGGGATCCTTAGGACAGGTGTCAATCCATATCTGCCAAGTGACCCTATGTAGGGGGAACAGTCTCTATTCTGCTCTGTGTCAGTGTGTATCAGGGACTTTGAGGACAGGTGTCAATCCATATCTGCCAAGTGACCCTATGTAGGGGGAACAGTCTCTATTCTGCTCTGTGTCATGTGTATCATGATCTCGGAGGACAGGTGTCAATCCATATCTGCCAAGTGACCCTATGTAGGGGGAACAGTCTCTATTCTGCTCTGTGTCAGTGTGTATCATGGTCTCTGAGGACAGGTGTCAATCCATATCTGCCAAGTGACCCTATGTAGGGGGAACAGTCCCTATTCTGCTCTGTGTCAGTGTGTATCATGGTCTCTGAGGACAGGTGTCAATCCATATCTGCCAAGTGACCCTATGTAGGGGGAACAGTCTCTATTCTGCTCTGTGTCAGTGTGTATCATGGTCTCTGAGGACATGTGTCAATCCATATCTGCCAAGTGACCCTATGTAGGGGGAACAGTCTCTATTCTGCTCTGTGTCAGTGTGTATCATGGTCTCTGAAGACAGGTGTCAATCCATATCTGCCAAGTGACCCTATGTAGGGGGAACAGTCTCTATTCTGCTCTGTGTCAGTGTGTATCAGGGGCTTTGAGGACAGGTGTCAATCCATATCTGCCAAGTGACCCTATGTAGGGGGACCAGTCCCTATTCTGCTCTGTGTCCATGTGCATCAGGGGCGCTGAGGACAGGTGTCAATCCATATGTCAAGTTGTCAATATGTCATATGTCAGGTGTCAATCCATATTCATTGTGATTTAGCAATGTTAGGTGATTTCTGAACTTTATGGATTAAAACCAGACTCTGCATCAACTGTGTAATTTTCCATGGGAGTTTTGCCATGGATCCCACTCCGGCATGCCACAGTCCAGGTGTTAGTCCCCTTGAAACAACTTTTCCATCCCTATTGTGGCCAGAAAGAGTCCCTGTGTGTTTTAAAATTCGCCTACCCATTGAAGTCTATGGCGGTTCGCCGGTTTGCGAACGTTTGCGGAAGTTCGCTTTCGCTGTTCGCGAACCGAAAATGTTGTGTTCGCGACATCACTAGCGGTGAATAGTTTGACAGCTTTGTCTAGGCTACATGGGGGGTAGGTATTGGCTTCAATGAACAGAAAATCATCTAGGTAGTGGCAGCTGCAGGTATTAAGGAGGAGCCAACACAAAGCTTCTGCGAACGTGTCGAAAATCCTTGGACTACCCTTGGCCCCAAAAGTGAGTTTTGTGAAAAAGTAGTAGGCGTCTTGCCACTTAACTCCATGCAGGTGCCATAAAGAGGGGTGTATAGGTAACAATTTAAAAGCATTGACTATTTCCGTCTTGCTAAGCCAGACCCCCACCCCTGCCGACCTGATAGCTGTAATAGCGTGGTCAATAGTGGAGTATTGTAGGGAAAACTCTTCCGAAGGAATCAATGAGTTTAGGCTGGGGATGGCTGAAGAGCAGATAGGTCAATGATGAGCCTTAGTTTATGCAAATTTTTGCTGGAAACCAGCCCGATAGGGTTAGTTCTCCAGCTGGAAAAGGGGGGGGTTACCAAAAGGCCCGATTACAAATCCCTGGTCCACTTCCAGTTGTAGCAAGGTAGTGACTGTAGTAGGGTTATTTGTGGCTGACTGCAAATTGTGACACTCTAAAACCCCTGTTGGCATGTAAATGAGCCCTGTGTGAAAACCCTTGGTGAGACCTGTGCATAAAAATTCCACCAGGTGTTTGGAGGGGTGAGTGGACAGCATATGTTCAAGTACAGGAACGTTCACTGGAGACAAATAAGGTTTCTGGAACATTTTATTTGGGCACATAGATTTCGCATGTGCCCGAAAACAGTGTGAGCATACGTGCAATAAGCGGCAAGCGCTGTAACCACAGGAGCCCTCATTGAAATTATTGCAAATTTGTGATTTGCCTAGGTACACTACCGGACGACCCAATTTGTCTCTGGTCTGTTTCTCAGCTTTAAGGGGATGCTGTAATGATGTGCTGGGAGCGCTGTCCGGGCAGAGTGGGCTCAAATAAGCTGTGTGAGCGGGTGACGTACATATGGCACAAGCTGGTGTCCTAAGCCCCGCGAAGTGTCTGAGGAACAGTTCGTTGTCCAGTTGGCTCCAATCCATCTGGATGCCATACTGGGAAAATGTGGCTGACACTTTTGATGAAAAGGACTTGTGATAGTCATAAAAAGTATAACCGCCATACTTATTTCCCAGGTCCACCAGCTTATGCATATATAAGTCCAGTTTCTCTCTCCTATGGGGATGAACTGAGCACAGAATATCCCTAAAGATACCGAAAGATAGGACAAAGTCGGGGATGGTCAATTTTTTACTGAGTCTGGGGTCTCTGGCTTTTAAAACAACAGAGATGTCCCCGTAGTCGTAAGAACAGTTTTCCACGACATCCTGGGAGGCAATGAACAATGAGACTAAGTTAACGTCCTTGCCCTCCAGGATGTCTTTTTTAAGATTAGCCGGAACCATGTGGGCAGGATTAATAACGTGTGCTGCTGCCTTATTAAGTATGGAATTACCCATTATTGCTGTGGGTATGACCGGGGCTGCTTCAGTGAGAGGCCCAGGAGGCTCTATGGGGGAGCTGCGTGCTTCCAGCCTTTCCAGTCTGTCGTTGACCTTCCCCATTGAAGAAATTAGGGAGGCAACCATAGCATGGAGAGTTGGGTCTTGAGAGCTACTAGTGCCTTCCCCTGCATCCGTATTAAGGGTGTTGGTTCTAAGCAATTTAAACAGTTCTGCTTTCCTGGCAGTGGCCGGGAAAGGGATACTGCATTTGCGTAGTTCAGCCGTGATGCGTGGGATAGTCCATGATCTGATGGATGAGGGACTTCCCATGGGAGCAGGGACATACTGAAAGTAATAATAGGCATTGTTGGTGGCTTGTTGGGAATTAGCCAGTGGCTAGCTAGTGCCAGATGGCGAAAAGATTTATTCTAGGTTTCGTGGCGGGTGAGGCCCTGCTAGTGCCAAGTGGCTAGAGAGGCTCTATCTATGAGTTGGCGCGAGGGGTGTGGTAACCTGTCCGGTGATGGAATGTTGCCTCTCCATGGGTAAGTAGGGGGGGGGGTTGGTAGTAACAGGTGTCGCCCTCTCTATATAGTTTGCGAGGCGGCTAACTATGATTTGGCCCGAGGGGCGTGTAGTACCTCGAAGTGGAGGATGGGAGTTGGCCTCGCAGTCCGCTAGGATTAAGGGGCAGGGAATTAACTAACATGGCCGTGTTGAAAAAGAAAACGTGCAAATCAACATACCTGCAGAAAATTGAGCACTGGTTCTGTGTAAGAGAATTCAGATGTCTCTTGAGTAGGGTGGGGGGGGGGTTAGCTTAGGTGAACCGTCCGAGGGTATGCGTGTTCCTGGGAGTATGAGAATTTTAGATAATGTACTCTCATGTGGAACATATACATAAAAATTCACGTAGTAAGAGTTCTGGGGGGGATTGCAGCGAGTACTGTCCCCCCAAAGTACATAATGTCACCGGTACTTTTACCGTAACTGAGGTATAATTATCTTAAGACTTAACGATTGCTATTATACATGCAGAACTCCTAACATAACTAGCCCGCCATAAGTAAACATATATCATGTATTATGTTTAACAAGCAAAATCATACACATATGTTTAAACCAGTGATTTAACTTAATTTAACCAGCATCCTAATTAGCAGTATATGCATAAATAACAGAAGGTTTATTGAAAGGTACTTTAATGTATCTTATTCCACTTAAAACATATATATATATATATATATATATATATACACACACACATGTTTGGCAAGACGTGTAACCGTACAGTATGTAGTAAAAGTTTATAGTAAAAAATTCCTAAAAACAAATAAATGGGTGCTACAGTCACCTTTGTGGGCCACACCACCACAAATCAAAATCAGTGATACAATACAAAAATAACAAGGGTGAGAGCACTCAACACAAATAATAAAATAATATTACCCAAACTTTGTCAATCAGTCTGAAAATAAAAAACAGAGAAAAAAGACATAGGGTAATATAGTTAAGATACAACCGTACAGTATTGAAAGAAGTGTATTCTATGGGCATGTACGGTGGCAGCTGGCTGAACTAAGGGTCAGCCAGCAGTAGAACGTATCCATTATGCAAGGTGGTGGACCGGGGTTTTAACCCTGCACCCAACTATTTTGTGCCCCCCATGTGTGTTGCCGGCGGGAACAGGGACCCCTTATGATATAGGGGTCTGGTTGTGGCCTGTTCCCGACCGGGCCATAAGTATATGTCTCCCCCCCCTCCCCCTTAAGACCGGTTTCCCTGGCGGCTAGGAACAGAGATTCCTAAGTGGTAATGGAGTCTCTGTCCTGTTATCCCCACGTGGGAGCCCAGCTTACCGCACCAAAACGGGTTGGCGAGGAGGAGAGGCCGGTCGGCTGTACCGCTGTTTAGGGCCGGGTTTCGAGAGCCGGTGGAAGTCAGCGCGTGACGTCAGAGTAGTGCGCCGCGTCTCACCGGAAGTGACGATACGAACCAGGAAGTCGGGAGTAACGGAAGCCTGCGAGTAACAGGCTGCTCGTCTAGACCAACGAAGGTAAGTGAGGGAAAGGGTGGAGTCCCTTAAGTAGGTCTATAGCCCCTCCCACAACTTCAGGCCATGCCTTCCAATATATCATATATTTTATATATATATATATATATATATATATATATATTGCAATATTCACTATTAATTGAGATATCCAGCTAATTTTGGGCAGGTTCCATCATATGTATACCTGCGCGCAGATCTGCTTGAAATCTTAACACGTGTTCATGCATGCGATTAGGCACGTATGTGCACACTCGTGTGTAAGTTTTGTTAGTTTATTTAGTTATTTATTTTCTCTATTTTTGATCTTTTTGCAATCCAAGGGATTCTAAGCAGTTTTCGCCAACAACACAGTTCAAATGCATCAATTCTATAGTCCAGCTCTCACATCCATATGTTACTACTGGGAATACCATAGTTCTGACTATGTGGAACTTTGTTGATAGTGTAATATCTTTAGTTTTTACCAGTTTGTCCAAGCTTGCCATAGCTTTCCTCCCCAAAAGCAAACATATTTTAATTTCATGACTGCAGTCACCAAATGCCTTTTGTAACTGTCCCTTTAAATGACAAATTGCCCTGCTTCCCTGGATTATGGAGGAGCCTATTTGCCAGCCTCCTCCCCCATGACTATGGACAGTCTGTGACATATTGGGGCTTATGGACTTTTTATGGGACTGATGCTGGCCCTTTAAGCACAATTTTGGGGCTTTGGGAAAATTGGGACACTGTCCCTTTAAGACTGTGTCCCCAGACTTGTTTGGGACACTGCCCCTTTAAGCCTGTGTCCCCAGTGTCCCCAAAACCATTTGTTCCTGGCTATTTCACACTTGGTTTAGTAAATGGGGCTTACTGAACCAAGTACTGTACAGGCGAACCACCCAGAAGTGGAAGTGTGCTGGCAATTTACCTCCCAGGCTGGGAGCCTGCTGTAGGTAAATTGCCGAACGCTGGGTGGCCGCCGTTCACGCAAACGAACACCTGGCGGCGCCATCTTTATTCATTCAAATACAGTAAGCGGTGTGTGCAGCCAAATTCATGGAACTAAAATCGGCTGCACATTTCCGCGAACACCGCTGACCTGTACCTTCTCCCATACTGAACTTTCAGCCGCAAAGACTAAGTCCCATTCGGCGATGGCACTTAGTAATTTTTTCAGCCTGAAATAGACCGACCGCACAGCCTAAATCTATGGAACTGTTTTGGGCATGAAAATGTGCTTGCGGTCGGTCATAAAGGACTTCCGTCTAACCTTTTTATCCACTGGAGGGATTTGTATGATTGTATTTATCTTTGGTTATGTTTATATTTAAAATGTGCTGATTCGGAATATGTAATTTTTATGAAGATTGGCTGTATGGTTTTAAAGTTATAGTACATGTATAAAAACTGTATTTTTCCTGCCTGTGATAATTATGTTAACCATTGTGTACCATAATTATATAACAGGCAGAGGTTGAGGATTTTGTGTGTAATTGCTGGGAGTGTTTTCTGTAATGTACATGTGTTGTTCTGTAAAACCCTGTGGGTGGTCCTATGTAAGGAAAACCTGCATAAAATAAGGCCCTTTGGTGCCAAAAAACAGAATGACTTGACCCTCTAACTTGCAGCCCTGACTCATGTTTGTAGGGGACAGGTATAATCACTACAGGGATTGCTACGCTCTTCATACTCCCTTAGCCATTGAGCTCTTGTAAGAGCTCTTGTTCCTGATCTTGCTTTGCTCTACAGAAGGAAGGGGTTCAGCTACTGGAACCTGGAGCCTGGTCGTAGGTCCAAGGTGGATAGCAGACGGCGAGATCCCAGCCCAGCAGCAGCGGTTTGTGGATCTGCAGTATTTGTGGTGTCTACCATGCTGATGGTCCTTTGGTGATCGCTAGGAGCATCCTTTTCTACGGTCCAACTTCCAGCTGGCCTGGAGGCAACCGTAACAATCTCTTTACATTATTCATTGTAGAATGTCTCCTTTTCTCTTCTTTCTATCCTTTGGAATTCTGCATTCAGTTGGACACATTTTTTCTGTGATCTCCACTACCTTTCACTTTCCTTCTTTCCTGGGCTATTTTTAAAGCCTCATCAGATAGCCAGTTTGCCTTCTTAGATTTCTTTCTTTTGGGGATATTTTTTCTTGCGGTTTCCTGGATAATATTGCAAACTTCGGTC